AGAGAGAGAGATTATGTTGGATAAAATGAACCAGAAAACCCTTATTGTCTGAATAATGAACAACACTAAAAATGGGAGACTGCGACATATCAGGGAAAAAGAAAAACAGTAGTCTCCACTGAGTTTTAATTGGCCCAAAAAGTTGTTCTTCTTCTCTTCTTTTTGGGAAAGTGTACCCAAAACCCCACAAATGAAAACAAATTCAAAACCTCGACAGGAACAAACATTGGCCAATTAAACACAAAACCCAGAAGAAGAAGAAGAAGAAAGAGAGAGAAATGGTAGAGAACAAATGTTAAATAATTGGTAATAGAGAGAGAAAAGAGAGAAAGAAAATAGAATTATTGTGGAAGAAGGAGGAGGAGAATGGGGGGGGGGGCCTGCTTCTTTGTGGAGAAACAAAAATGAAGGCTATAATAATTATCTCTGTCCACTTCTCAGATGACAAGAAATTTCAGCAGTGGCTCTGCCTCTCTTCTAAACCACACTCTCTCCACAAAACCCCACCACTCAATAACCCTACCTTCATACATCCTTCCCCTTTCTGCACATATATACATGTGTATATGTCCATTTTCCATTCAAATTAACCACAATCTCAAGGGTTCTAGCGGTTAAGTATTGATGAAATATTAAACTTTTCATAATCCAACTCAAGTTTTTAGGTTCAATGGACGTAGTTTGACATTATTATGTTAAAATTATTGAGTTTGTAAAATAAATGCAAACAAAATCCTGCATTAACTAGAGAAAGAGGCGATCATGAGTATATAAGATAGAACAATTATCCCTATTTATATGATGCAAAGTTTACAGTAACTTATCTATTTAAACTTTTGAATTTAGTGGTGGTTTAACAATGAGTAAATAAATGGTATTATCTTGCTTTGATTAGATGAAGTGTGCAAATTAAGTATCAGTTAGAGGTAAAGTTTTTGTTAAGTTGTAAGTTGGGTTCTTTCAATTTTTAGGGTTGTGTTTATTTTTTATCTTTTTTAATTCCTTTTTAGTACATAGTCGGTTGTGTTTATTTAGTCTTTATAATTTAAATTTTTTGATAGACCTCTAAAATAGCTTAAATTTTGTGTCTAATAGATTTACGTTTGTTAATTTTTATGAAATAAATCCGCCATCGTTTGATCCCATGATTCTTAAATAATATACTTACCATACCGTGTAAGTTAACCAACCCTTTCTATTTTCACCCAAAATAACCAAAACTCTCATCTTCACATTACAATAATTTGAAGTTTATTTATTTTTTTATTTATGGACAGTATATTGAAGTTATAACAAATAAAATAACTTGACGTGCAAATTGAAGAATACCTCATTCAAAAATTCTCTTTCTTTTATACAAACCTTGAAACCAAAGGTAGATTCTTTATCAAATACCAATCTAACCTTGGGTTCCATGGATATCGTAAAGAAAACTTGTAACTCAAAATTATTCTGCAGTTGGAAGAAGACAGAGAAAAAGAAAAAGAAAAAAGAAAAAAGAAAAAAATTCTTTGTTTTTTTCTTTAATTTTTAATTAATTTTTTTTCTATTTTAGTGCAACAAATGTTGAAGTGAGGATTAAATTGGAAGTAATAGGTGCCTTATCCACTCAGCTATGTTTTGATTGACAATTATACGAATAACATGATATTGAATAGAATTATTCAATAATTATTAAAAAATTAATAACAATAAGTTAGTTTTTTTCCTGTTTTTGAAATTATATGAAATATAGTTTGTGTGCTGAGTGTGTGTATATATACATATATCATGATTGAAAAAAAAATCATGAATCATACATTTAAATTAGCTTTTATTTTATTTTATTTACAATTACATTGGAGCTGTTATATCAATAGGAATACATTTATGTGTCGATATGGTCTCCATATTAATATGCAAGTACAAAAAGTGAAGAAAAGAGCAAAAATGTGAGTTTATGTTGGTTTATTGATGTAATTTGGAAATATGTCTCTATTATCTAAAAAAGAATATTTTTATTAACAACATGGTTTGGTATTTATTTTATTTCATACTATACTTGAAGAAAAATTTAAAATAAATACAAGATTGATATTTACAATCCTCTACCTAGTATATCAATCCTCCCCCTAGCTCCCATCCATTGCAAGATTTCAATATATTCTCGATTCGACATCAATAAGAAAGTAAGAAAAGACGATAAAGAGGGAGTTTTACTACGATAAACAAACCGTGCTTAAGTTATATATTTGCTCGTTTTAGACCAAAGATTAATGCAATTCGCTATCTTTTAAATCTAGATGGATAGGTAATTTTCTATTTTACTAATCAAATTCATATCCAAAAGAAATTCTATCTTTATATATATACAAAAGAAATATACTTAGAATATATTGAAAAGATTTAATCAACCCTAAGTATATTAATTAACTTAGTAGATAAAACACATATTATCTTTCCTAAAGTTAAAAGGTTTGATTTCTACCACCCACATTTTTTTTACTAAATAAAAAAGAATTAGCCTATATATTCCACTTATGCTAATATTATATCCCATTGAAGAATACTTAAATACTTATGGGTCGACAATTAATTTTTACGGACTACTAATAAAAATTTGACCGCTTTTTAATTAAAATAAAAAATCTCTTTTTTCTGCATTTCTCTCTCATACTTGTTAAAAGTTTAATGGTACACGGCCCAAATATTTTTTTGTATTCCAACAAGTCTAATGTCGAGAATTTACTGAAGAGATTAAATGTAATCTAAACCTATTACATTGCTACAATATATTTAAACAAAAACATTATCATTGTCATGTGTCAATGCATTTGAACATATAAAGATAACATTTTTATTAGGTTCCATATCTTCTCGTTGGTGGAACACGTAAGGCCATCAACAGTGTAATTTCTTTCCCTTTCAGACAAAGTTTTGCAGCAAACTCTTTGAATAAGAAGATGACTTCTCATTTAAATTTTCAGCTTATTTTTTATTCTTTTTATTTTTTGTGGCTTAAAAAATAGCATTATCTATATGCCTATCTAGCTAGCTAAACCCTAATATATAAATATCTCCATAAGAATAAATCATGCATTTTTTTTTAATAAATTTTTTGTGGTGAAGAAAATTACAAAGTTTCTTTTGTAATGGGAAGTGTGCCCTTCAATTGGTGGGATTCCATCCCTTTGAATTTTAGGGCTGTGCCATTATTGTTCTTTCTAATTATTTCAAACCGCCCCCCACAATGCATAGCCCTAACTTTTTAGGTCTTCCTTATTGAGTCCATGATGATATATTTATTTAATTTCTCTTTTTTAAAGAATGATGAATATGATGTACTTTAATTTAGTATTTGGAAAAAGAACTCTGCCATTGAAAACAACAACTTGCATTAAGAAAATAAAAGTACAAAGTGATGTACAACACCAGCTAGAAATTCCTAAAAGGACAAAAAATAAATTAATGATCATGAGGAATATTGTGATTAAAGTTACAAAGCTTATCATAAATAAGAGGTTATTAATGTTTGATTGTTTGGAACCAATGAAAATGCAGTGGAATTGATTGATCTCATAATTAATAATGAAATCTTTTGCATTTTTGGACCTATGGAATAACAATAAATCAATAGTCTATATGTGTTCGACAATGCAACAATAGTAGTCTTCGTAAAATCCAGACAATAATCATTTCTCATATAAGTATATATCCCAACTGTCTGATTAAATCTTAGTCGTCGTCGCTCAACTTTGAAGATCGAGCCTATTCCACTCATCTCTAAAGACACTTACACCAAACGAGCAGTATATATTATATAGTCACACGCATACTGACACACACACATGAAGAATACTGACTCAGTGTTTCAGATAACCCTTCTGAACACATAAAGACACACCAGAGTAAAATTTCTGAAATGACAAAAAAGAAAAAGAAAAAGAAAAAAGGATCTCCATCCATCTAGTACCAACTAATTGTACTTGAATTTACCATTCAGGGTTTGGAAGTTATTGTGTTTAAGCATGAAGGGCATCCAGGGATGGCAATAATAATAGTGGAAAAGTGTCAAAAGAAGGGGACTTTAGGGTCAATGTGGAGTACAATTTGTAGTGAGTTGTTTTTGGATAAGTGAAGTGAGGAGTTGAGGGGTGAGTTTGTGAGGGGTACCCCTCAGAGAGAGGGCATGCATGCAGTATAAAGGACACCCTCCCCTCTGCCCAAATAAAGTACTGTACTAAAAGTTTCTTCTGCATATATAATGTATATTTTCAACCATATCACATCTTGACCCTTTAATTTCCTCTGCCCTGCCCTTCCAAAGGGTCATTTTCTTCTTCCCCCTTTTCCCCCACATTGTTTTTATCTTTCTTTTTTGGTCATCATCTTCAGTTTTACTCCATTGCTACTGTAGTTCTTCCTTTCACTAAATCATTCATCCTCTTTGATCCTATTCAATCATTTCATGCATGTAATGTGTAATAATAATGCATTTCTTCATTTCATTTCATTTTTGGCTATACAGGCCATGTGTCAATAGTATATTTGTTGTTAAAGATCTCTTTTTTTAAGAAAGTATAATATGTATATGACACTCTAAAACACATTAGGAAAAAAAAAAGGAGTGGCTTTGTTAGTGTGACGATTATGAAGTAGATGGAGTTTCCAGATCGAGTGCTAATATGTGGGAAGACATCAATATCTCAACCTCATCATGGTCTTCCGAAGCTCCTCTTTTCTTTTGTAATTATAACGTTTCTATCATTTTTCTTAATTGGAGTGCTTTCCTATAGCCTCCTAATGAGACGGTACCTTTTTTTGAAAAAAAAAAAGTTTCATTTTTTCCTTTTCAAAAATATGTGAAAACGCTGGTGAAGTAAGTAGCTGTTTATGCATGATTAGATTTGGGTCCAATGTCAAATGCTTCAATTGAATACCACCTGCATGCACCAAAAAGATTTACCTCTGATGCCTAAAATTAGATATAGATTAAGTCATGTAGCAAAAAGTAGGACGGTGAAAATGTACCTTGCGCCCCAATCTATAAGACCTATCTCTTATTCATAGAGGGAGTTTCCTTGGATTTGGCTTGGTGGATGAGCTCGACTAGGGTAGGTTGGATTGGCTTGAATTGACCTGAATGGCTCGATTCACACATTAGTCTCACCAAATTTTGATTAAAAAAAAGTAATTAATGTTGAGAGAAATGTAATTTCAACCTAAGAATCTTTCTTTTCTTATTGAATTAATTAATGTAAAAGCATATGCATCAACATCAAACTAAATGATGACCCACACATATTAATTACTTGATTTGTTAAAGGGTTTAGTTTAACACAAATATGGGAAGTCTTGGGCAAGAGGGAAATTTCCCAAAATGTGGGTTATAAAATAGATATGGAATGTTATTCCAAGAGAGGAATCTCCCTAAATGTCTACTTAAATATATTGGTTTAGTAAGATATTAGAGGGACCCTCTCTCCTATGCCCTTTTAAAGGCAATTGAATAAGATTTTAATTCTTTTAATTAGGACCATTAAATTAAAGGGTGGATATTTCTAATTTTGTAGCATGCTGTTTAACATATCAAGAATTAAAATCATTAAATTAAAATTTAAATTAAAGGAATCAGATGCATGTTTCCCTTTCAGCCTCTTCAAAGAAAATTCCAAAATGCTTAATATACAAGTACTTGCCACTTTCTCATATTATTTTATATTTAACCCTCATTTGCATTCTTTTAGACTTATTATATTTTAATCTCTAAACTAATTCATTTTAATCACATCAAAAATCATTTTAATTCTTACCATTAATATATGTTTTGAAATTAAAGGATCAAAACGAAATATATGAAATAAGAATCGTTTAAATCACAATTTATTTTAATAAATAGAATCATTCAAATAAAAAAAATCTAATAAGAGTATAAACATGGATAATTTTATAGCTTAAAGAATATCTACATATAGATTTCTATGTCACGAAATTATGTTTAATACACATAATATACTCATAAACTACTATATAAAATATTTAAATCCAATAACATATTATAAAGCCCATTGCTTATAGAAGAATACTTTATGAATGAAATGAGAGTTAAATATTAATAAATTTAAACTATATGAAACATAAAGAAAAGGTGAAATAATTGTTAGGATATTTGGAAAAGTTAAATCCGACGTGGCAGTGGGCAGCAGGACACTTTTGACAAAATGAAAAGTTGGCGAATATTAAGAGGACACGTGTGGAGGTTGGAAATTGCAGCTAAAAGTCTAATTTTGCCGGAAAAGAAACATTAATAATGAGACAAAATTCAACCAAATCGGACCCTCCAATTCAGCCATTGCCATTGGTGGTAATAATGGAATCTTTAGTGCTCCTACTCTACTTATGCACATTAATTAATTAAATAATTATATTATAAGAATCCCACTTTCCAAACACACACTCTAAAGTGTAGCGTAAAGGAACCACTTTTCTTTTCCATTAAAAAAAAAAAAGTTAATACAGTCACCAAAAACTAAACTACTGGTATTTTTTAAGTTTGGTTTATTTTGGTCGCGTACTTTCAAACGGTTTATTTTGATCATTGTTCTTTTAAAAAGCGACTATTTTAGTCTCTTAATTTTATTTTTAATCTAATTCTTTCTTTCACAATTTCAAGACATTGTACTCATTAAATTTCTTAAAATATAAGAATGCCTTTTATATTAAAGAGTTTTCGGTATTGTATAGAATTTGTGTTAAAATTTTGAAAATATAGATCAAAATAGTTATTTAAAAAAAAATACGACCTAAAACGAACATTTCGAAAGTACAAAAACTAAAATGAACTCAAAGTGAAAGTAGAGAGACTAAAATTAACATTTTGAAAGTATAGTGACTAAAATGATCGAAAGTATAGGAACAAAATAGTATTTTAACCCTAAAAAAATTACTACAACATAAATTCCTTTTTTGTTTGGTTAAAATACCATTTTGGTACGTTTAGTTTTTTTTTTACTTATTATTTTATTTTAATTCTTATACATTTATTTGGACTCTAACCCATATTTACTTTTCTGGGTTTGTCAAACCCATGAGTCTCAATAAAACCCCAAAGCCACTTTCATGCACAATTTTGCTCCCAACCGTGATCGAATGAGAATGGATAAGAGGTTTGTGGGATCGACGTGAGGGGTGCGGATGGCTATATTTCTGGGAGCGAACCCACAATTTTTCTAAACATAAGCCTTATAAACTTGCACTTCAAACCTAGTTTTCTTAAACTAAATATGCTCTTAAATCCTTTCAAGTAAACCCTCAAACTTAATATTCTTAATTAGGGTTTAAGATATCGTATCAAGTTCCCGCACCCCAAACGATCCTTAAATATTCAAGTTTAGTGTATGTACTTTCTATATGATGCGTTTCAACAGGGAATATATTTTTCAAATTGCCACCGAAAAGGCCTATAGAAAATTCTTCTTCTACTTCTTGGAAGTTAACCTTAGAACAAGCGTGACGAACATGTTTAAAACTAAATTTGAACATTTAAAGGTAAAGAGACGGTATTTGTGTTTAAAAAATTGAGGGCAGACACATGCCTAGCTAAATCTGGTGGTGGCATATATGCCCTCTTTCCCATAAATGTCTTTATCACAAACGAACTGCTCCAAAAAGAAACCTAGAGTGAGTGGCTCTTAGTTATCTACTGAGTGAAAGGCAAGCACAGAAGTGGCCACTACCAGCCTCCTTCTTCTATCAAAAACCCCCAAAACCAAAAACCAAAGAAAGAAAAAAATCCCATTTTGATTCCCTTGAGTTTTATGCTTCATTTTCTTCCATCGATTGGTTTAGGGTTCTAATTTGAATTAATGGAGATCATAATCTCAGAAATGGAAGGTCCAAAATGGACCCCTTGTCACTTCATCTCTAGCTGAGAGATATATCATCACGATGTATAATTCTATTAAAAAAAGAAAAAACTGACCCCACGCCACAGATTCCTTCAGCTTGTGACAATAAATTAAAAGTTTGGTGTCTCTATTATTATGTTATTCTCTTCCATGCATATATGGCCGCAGCAGCCATTTTCATTATCCATCCCATAATATAAAATATATATATATATATATATATATATATTACTTACAGTTACGTATATCAGTTCTCCCTTTACATATACTTCTCCAAATACATTAAAAATACGTAAATTGAAGCAAGCCCAGATGCCCAAATTAGTTGCTTATGAGATTATTATTGGTGTTAGGAAGGGAAGCAATAGCGAGAGAGAAGAAAGAAAAATTGTATTAAAAAAAGAAGAGATGAGAGAGAGAGAGAGATTACGTACAATTCAAAGATGCCAATTGTGTGGGCGATAGGCATAGTCATATAAAGTACAGGCAGAAGCCGTAATGTAAAGGCTTCTTTTTTTCTTTTCTTTTCTTTGGGATAGGGGTTGGATTGGACCATTAATTTGCATGCCCTATAGACTAAAAAAAATGATGTGTTTTGTTATTGGCTAGCTTGGCCTTTTAAGGGGTCTCACAAGCACATTGAAAGGGGCCGACACGTTTGTG